ATTACTTTGCCTAACCCACCTATATTGATGGGGGGTCAAAGATGATTGATGTACATCCTTTTATTGATTCTCTTAAGTAAGGTTGGGAAAGAAGATTATTTCATTCATCTAGCAAGTGGAAGTTGCTTTGAAACACCATTGTTGGTTTTTAAAAGCTGTATAACTGTGGAAAGGAATATATATTCATTTATGCGAATGAAAAAGTTCGTTTTCAGAGAATATCTTACAATGTTTCCTCCATACAGTTTTATAAACTGACGAGGTCTAGGAAAGAGAGAAAAAAGCAGCAGCAAGTATCTCAGGTGACATGTTTTCTCCTGTTGTTTACCCTGTAACACAGTTTGGTCTTCGTAATTGTAGAATTTTAAACCGAAACCATCAATCTGTTTTACTCCAGAACATCATTTCTGACAAGTATATCGAGATTATACTATCACAAATTGTATCGATTGACCAATCATGGGCCGTGTTACATTTCGAATTAATTAAACACAGGTTTGGTCTGATCTGAATTATTGCTCTTTTGCAATTTTTTAAATTTGGAAATATTTTAAATATTGCATATCATGTTACTGATTCAGAGTCTTTACCAAGCAAGAAAAATATATAAAGTACCCGGCATTGTTTGGTTCTCTACACTATATTGTTTAATTGTGGTCCGGCAAATGCTACTTTCAATTACACTGTATTACATTTTCACCACGTATATATAAAAAATGTATAAACATTTTCCTCATCCCGAAACTGCCGTTGAGATGACTAATGACGATACATGTCGCGAGGCCTACTTTATCATTGTAACGTACGAGTCAGACCTCACAGTACCAGGTCCCGCTTGTGTGAAACATTTGTTAATTATCAACCTCTATACTTCACTTCACTAGATAATACGTTACAGGAGCTAACCTTTGATGATAGGAATTGTCGTCAACCCTGAAATGGCGGATCCAGAGGCGAACTGTATGCCAGGAAACTTTCCATCTACGTTGGGTAATTCCATATTTATCTAGTGTTAATTTTAAGATTTGATTACTATACTTATTAGATTGGTAACTAACGTTAGCTGTAATGATAAACTCGCCTTCAGTACTAAAGGCGAAAAACGGCGAAAATTTAACTGCAGCGAAAATATCTCGGTATACAATGTTCAGTGCTACAAAAACTCTTCAGCCAATGATACTTTTATCTAAAATCCTGTATTTCCACTCTCCCTCATTTTGTCAACTTAAAAAAGGGAGTGTTCTAAATTGACAACTCCTTATCAAAAAGTCTCTAGAGTCCACCATTGCCTCCGTGTTGTCATTCTAAATTATCATAAAGGAACAAGACAGTATAGGTCGATATTAAGTCAATACCGCCCCTATATAGTGTACATAAAACATAACTGGGCATCATGGGAAAGTACAGTCATGTAAATCCCGAATAGTCAAGTTATACCTGTAAATATCCAGAGCTTAGTCAACTACTATTACAATAAACATCATTTGCAATCATGTGGGATTATTTTTTTCATTACAATACAACTTTTTAAACATCTTTAAATATGTACGGAAGTGTATTAACCTCCAAATCGACCTTGGTGTGTTAACCTTCGAATTGACCTCCATGATTGATCGCACGGACAATCGTACTTCATCTTATTAGCATATCCCATTGTGTTTGTTTATCACGTCATCTGCATAGATTATATGCAATCAGGGGGAAAGTTCACCGTACTTTTCCCCACAAATTACCATGCGATATTAGCGTTGACACTCACAGTAGAATCTATTTGGTGAAATTTCATTGCAAAGGGAACCGTATTTAGCCAAAGGAGAAAATCATTATCTTATGAAATATGTAATTTTGTATAGCATTATTGGAATAACATTACGAAAATTACTCATATGAGCAGTAGTATACATTATATCATTTCATTTATTCGAATCGTACCTACCCGAAATAAAACAGAATTCCATAAAAACAAAGCATATTTAAGTTTACTATATAATAATATTTCGTAAAAGAACAGTATTAACCGTTTCACCCCTAAGTAACATAAGTGAACGCGTCCATGTATTGATTTGGATAAGACCATTATTGTCTACAGTGACGAGAGGGTTAAATTTACAATTTGAACATAACGTAGCATAACATTGCATCATAACCTATACTCCAATTCTTACGGAGGGATTTTCTACAGCACAGAGAACAAGGACAAAAGAATAACCATAAGGAATAGGAAAACAAAGATAAATTGACTTAAAACATATTTTTCCTGGCCCCACTCGGAAACAATACGATATATCAGAATAGGTAATAACCTCACAGAATGTGGAACGAGATAAGGCAAAACAACTTCACAACGTGAATCTTCGGGTTACCGTAGGAACGAATGGTACTGTCCATCCCGAAATCCAAAATAAAACAGGTTATACAAAATAAATTTATTCAGACACAAATGCTGGCTTAGAAAACCAAAATTTAACAGAGCGTATTGCACGACCCCTACATAAGAATACTCATGTCAAATTAATAACACAGGTGAAGTCAAAGAACATAATAAAACATGAATTTGATTTAGGTAGAATTCAATATCGTTGAAGAATGCGATGACAATATGTTTTCCGATAATATTGAAAGCGATACGCGCAGAGGACAGCACTATAATCATAGGAGAGTGGCCGCGAAAGAAAAATGCATGACGACAGATCAAGAATATTTTTTTGTAGGAATCTAAGATAAATACAACGGATATATTATTATTAGTTGGCATTATGTACTAGAATTTTTATAATGCGTTAGGTAAATTGATATCAATATCTTATCCAACCTTAGCATCGCATCTATAATGAACTATGTTAGGGGTACCTTTCTCCCTTTAACAAGAATAGACTTTTGTGGTATCAGGACTGCCCTACTCTTGCCTACATGGAATTAGCCTAACCATGATTTTCAACCAGATATACAGTGAGGTCATATCCTGATTTCAAACAAGGGGATATCGATGTTTGGCACAATCAAAGTCATGTTTGCTGTGTCTTAGTTACTAGGTGACTGACAAACTTTGCTATTTAATGACAGAGGACTGCATGAAGGGTGCCTCATGTGGTGTATAACAACCATTTCCTTGCAACTGGTGCCGCCATTTTTTTTCACGTGTGGTTATCTAATGTCTTACAACTTGTGTTGATATGCCGACGTTCTGAGTTCAAATTTGTGTCTTTATGCTGACCCTACTTTTGTATTAAGTCTTTTCCTGGTCGTGACCATCTGTTTACATAAACATCACGCATTTTATGAAATATGTCTGTATGCTGTAATTCTGTAACAAAATACAATACGCCGACCTTCTTCTTGCTGTCATCTTACATCACCATGACATCACAGAACGTGTCTCACTAACATAACACAAATCCACCATCATTTTTCTTGCTAACAAGCTTAACACCTGCATGGAACACGCCTCGCGCTATTGTATATATGAGATATGAATTATTCCAGATAAAAATAATAAACAAATTTTCCAAATTATTTAATTTCCTTATCTGAGATAACGCTTTGACAAACACTTCTTTTAAGGACCAATGCTATTTTTGTCATTCAATCTCTTTATTGTATATACTCGCCTTTTTTTCAAAACTATTGTTCTTTCACCCTCTTTATAGCTAATCAATACAGTGTTCGTATTTTGTAATTTGTACTTTTATTACAATGGGATAGGAATGTAAGTATGATGTATAATGCCGTATTTGCATGGACCCTTATTTACCTCCAGGATATAAGAATGCAACATGTGTGACAAACATGTTCATTGTCATTTCATGCTAATATTTGGCCATATTGTTATATTTCAATCTTGTGTAAAAGTTGTCAAAACGGATTAGCATTGTCGACACGAATAATCTGGCTAAACAAATCTGTAAAAGTAGTCCAAGTAAGCCCATTGTTGTTTATAAATGAAATTTAAAGATCCCCCCCCCCCCCTATATATTTGCCGTAACTTTTTCTAACTCCGACAGAATCGCCTTATGGGGGTTCTGCCGGTCCCAGCCGGCCCGGGTAAAGGAGGAGGGTTGGGCTTGGGGCTAACATCCCCATCATGTGAAAACACTTCCGTTGCATGCAGAAACATTAATAAATGCAATTCAACCAACTAGCCCATCAGTAGACTTGAACCAACAAAACGGCTACATTGCGTGTTGGTGCGTGGAATGGTCCCACTATGTTCGAATCATCCAGATCGAAAGAGATGGGGCTGTCATGGGGCGAAGAATAACACGTTGCCAACGACAGATACCAGTGGGAACGCATTGTTGATGCCTTATGTCCAATCTTTTGCCATACAGTAGAGTTCAAATTTTAATATTCTATATTTAAAATATAACATTTTCGATCTTTTTTGCCAGGATGGTTAGGAAAATCGAGATGCCAAGAGTTCTTGAAATGCTAGCTATTCAAGAGCAAATCTGGTATAATTATCTGCGTAATATGTTCATGCCTTCAACAGTCCTTGTGTAAAATTACCTTTCCAGGATAACAAAGGCATAAATTGGCCAGAGGATATGCATAATTTAAAAAACCGTCCAAACAAAATACACTACACTGAATGGAATAACGAAAGAGGAGCACACATACTTTCACGAACTTGACCTAGACAGAAACGAAGAAATACAACCGCAGATGTATATTTGTTCCTATCAACAAAGCATTGCGTCCATTAAACTTTCAAATACAAAAAGCAACAAGCCGCATCTCATGCTTTTTTCGCCACATATTTGTATATACTCTAATAATTACACGCATGCTTAATTTCACCTTTCTGTCGCATGTCAAGTGACTTTAATAAAGATGTGAGTTATCTATCAAGGCGATTTGGGTCAACGTATGTCCGGTTTAGTATGGCCGTGCTGTCAGTTATACCTACCTGTGTTAAATTAACTTTACGGCTACAAAATGTCACACTTTGATGTGCATTCTTGTTTATAATGCGTGACCAGTATTTATTTTCACCTTTCCAGCTGAACAGTTCACGTGTGTTTAAGATACACCGTCACATTAAACACCTATCATACCGAACCGGACCGCCGACTTCATCACGTCTCCACCATGATCCAAACTGTGTTTACTGTAGTTCTCGCCCTTGTGGCACTCTCATTTGTTGAAGGTAAGAAATACTGACATGTGAGTGTATATGTAACTCAATGTCTGTGCACATTTAACCTTATTCCATCAGCCTATATCAAATTTGAATTTCGTATTTATGAGGTTTTACACGTTATTGTTAAATTTCCAAACCTTTTGTATAAGGAGGAATATTGTTTAATTGATATGATAGTTGCGACAAACTTTGGTTTTAGGAGCTACCTACATGTAACAGTATTTGCTATTGCCTTGTAAGTATCATTGTGAGGAGTACCGAAATGGAGTTTTTTTCTGTATAATTATTCATTGGCAGACTGAACCTAATCATTGACAGACAAAAACGAGTTTTCCTCTCAAACAAACAAAAATCTTTTGAACTGATAACACTTTTGGTTCAGCTAAAAACTGACATTCTACCCCAAAGTGAGTTTTTATAGATTGTGATCTTTATGACTTTTATCGAAAATACATCTTTCAGTTTATATTTCAGAAATACTGTATGTATAATATTTAACAATTTCATTTATTTAGCAGTATATTTGTAATGTTCATTATTCGAAAGGAACTGGGCAGCGCTTTGTCATATTATAATTTCAAAATTGCTTCATATATTTTTAACATTATGGGCAAAATAATAGAGGATTTCATCTTATATTCATTAACCTGTTTTGCTGTTGTAATACTTTTATTTTGTTATCGTGGAATGATTTTCCGTAACTTTCTATTTCTAACTAGATTGTTTTACTTGGTTGAGTACACCGCAAAACGTTCTGTGAGCAGTTCATTAAATGCTTGCATTAGTTTAAACCAAAGTTTATTTCATTTTTTTCATGTCATACAAACAAATGCTTGCATTTAAGGAATGATTTTTATTTTTTTCAACATTTATGAGGTCATAACAACAATGGGTTTATGGACATATTGAATGAATCAGTGGATCGATATAACAACGAATAAAACAAATAAACAGGGTTTGTTCCTGCTTATACACGGGTGCAACGCAGTGGCGAGAACAATGTTTTTTCGCGGGGAAATGTGACACTATCGTGAGAGATCTTAGCAACCGTCAACAACAATAACACAACAAAATGTAGTTCCATATTCAATGTTTATTTGTAGCACAGGACACGTGAATACGTGGATATTTCACAAAGCACAGTTCAATAATATTTTAAGATGTAAGAATTAAGCATCTAGGTCGGTCGTTCCGAGTGAGTAGTTTTTGTAGTGTATTACTACGCAGTGTGATCAGGTTACTATCAGTTCCCACGTGCTGAGATTCTATGAACACCTGTGTTATGCATTTATGAATGTAATTTTTGTCAATGGGTCTAAGCATACAGAATGTAAATATTAAGAAATAACAACGTTTTCCTTTTGCAAACGTTATTATAGCACCTTCTGTCTAAAAACTGACTCTTCCAAATACAGGGTTTAGATTGATTTAAGTGTTTGATTTGTCTAATTTGGTTTACAAAATCTACAATTAACTATGTTTGTTTAATGAGGTTTCTGTATAAACAGTAACGTAGCCTTGTTTATCAGACTCATCTCTTTTATATATATGTAAAAGAAGTGCATTGATTAGGTCGCCTTACAAGCGACAGCGGTAAGAAATTTCACTTTAGCTCAGCGTTAGAGCATCGGGCTGGAGATCTAAGGGTCGCGGGTTCGAGCCCGAGCGACGGCACTATCTTTATCACTATTTCTCGTCCTATTAAATATATCTATATTATCAAATCTACTAAATATCGACCGGAGTTACACAGAACGACTAGAAAAATAGTCCGTTGTGAATATAATATATCAAGATGTCATATTTTGTTATACAGTGTAATATATCATCATATTAGTGTGAAATTGTGAATTTATTTTCATTTTAATACTATTAATGTTATATTAAATGGAGCAGCAGGCTAGGTCTAAATAAGTTCTCTCCTAAATTTCCGAATTAATTCATGAGAATATTAAGTTTAATGTATGTATGTGTTTTTCACTCTTTATTACAGGCCAGGGCAATCCTGAGATGAGACCAGCTCAAACATCTCCGTCACTCGGAGGAACCGGAGGAGCTGGTGGGATTGTGGTACCCATCACAGCACCAAGTGGCATGCCGACGACAGCCAGTCAGCCCGCTCAGATGCCCCAGCCACCACCCTACGATATTTTCGACTGGCTTTTTAACGACTTGAATTACAATAACGGCCCTGACTATAATGTCGCCTCCAGTAACAACCAAGTCGTCAATAACAACAACGTCAACAACAACAACAACGCTATGACAAACGACATGATGATGGCGATGATGCTTGGATTCGATTTCGGATTTTGATTTCGTAAAATTTGTAACTTTGTATACTGTAAACTGTGTTTACCGTTTATTTGGATTCTCAGGAACGCCACACTAACACATGTTTCACCATCATAAATTCATTATGAGTTCAATAGAATTTGCAGGGGAATTGTGTTTAAACATTTCTTGATCATGGATTGTTAAAACAACACTTGTCGCCTAACTTAACACAGTGGCGGTCATGACTTTATATGCATTGTGATGTTTCATCCAATCTCTTTCATAAGTATAATGTTATTAATTTGTTTTCTAATAAAAGGTTTGATGACGTACTGATGATTTGATTCTTTCTGTCATTTATGTCATCTTAATAATACTGTCAAAGTGGAATTCGCGCGTGTGTTATTTACTCGCATGTGGATAGTTTTGCATTGATTTACTCAACGCAAAAATCGCAGTCAATACTACACCTCAAAATTTTCCACTTGTACAGTATATCAATTTGCTTTGAGGACGATATAGATATCTCTGTTATTTAAGGGATAATCAAAATATATATGCGTATACAATGGTGGAATATATAATGAAGTCTGAGTTCATAAGTTTCCCCATATTTTTCGAATCCTAGTTGTATAAACAATCACATGATTATTAAATTTATTTTGTCACAGGAAAACGAATTTAAAAATGCTTTAAAGTGACAGGGCATTTGTTTTGCCCGCACAAGCATATTTTCACGTAATGCCTCGTTTTCATTTCACCAGTTAACCGATGTCATAGTTTATTTCATTATTTTCTGCTGCTGCAGCCAAGGATCATGTTAAGCTTATTACACTTGCTATACGAGATTGCCATTTGGATGCGATTCGCTCGTGCGAAATTTATGTAGAAGCTCACATAGCACAACAAGTTAATGTTTATTTGTGTCATTTCGATGACTAATACTATATGTAATCTGTCATTATTATCAGGCGAATGTACTAGAGTTGGCAGCAATCGAATTACCGTCGATTTATTTATTTGTTATACATTTAAAAACTGACGCTCAATTCGACAAATCGACACTGGTACACGTTTTTATACCTGGTCATAGATGTGCGAGACTCCATGCGCCCTCTCATCTCATTTCAGAACTGGCCCGATGCGGTTTATCTAGGTGGTTTCCTTTCTCTTCTGCTTTAACAGATTTCTCTACGTGTTCTAACTATGCTGTTATTCCACATAATTAAATGTTATTTAAGGATTAACCTTTTATTTTGTTTCGTTTATGAGATATGAGAAGCGTTTACGAACAATTTACCGACTGCTCCATTGGATTTATTATCTCATAAACTAAACAAAATAAAAGATTAATCCTTATATTTACAATATTATCTTTTAACGATAACATCATTAAAAGAGTCGGATACAAACATTTACCTTGTGTAATCTGCGTTCAAAATTATTTTGACGTCATGTTAATCCATGCGAAACAGCCATTTGCAAAAGCAGTTGACAGACAGCTAAACCCCACCCACTTTATCCGCGACAACACATGAAAAAAGTTCCTCCGTTTCAATTTTTGTATTCACATATTTTATTTCATACAATATCTTCATAATTGTATTAGTAGATAATGGAATAAATAATCTTATATTAATATGAAACTGAGGTACTGGTGCAAAATACCAATGACCGCGGACGTCCATCGTTTAAAAGTAATGCGCCCAAAGGCGGGAAATAGAGAGTGCTACCATGTCGTCGAGCGATAGTGACTAGCCTAGGCCTGGTGGAAGTTGAATGTGCAGTTATTGAAATTGCTGTTTGTAAGCAAACCAGAGGTTTGTACAGATGACATGTACACTGTATGATATGGATAAATCGTTTGTCGGCCGAGTGGCTGTTTTTGACCTACATTTCTAGGAACGATAGCCATCGTTTCTGTGTCATGGCGGCCGACACTCATAGATGCGACAGTGGAGCTGGTGGGGCGTTTTTGTACAGACGAACAATCGCGACTGTAGCTTCGGACACTAGCTTCAGATTTATGACCGGTCATGAACATGATCTGTCTTGTCTCGAATCCGACATCATTTGGTGTCTCGAACGCACGGTAGTCTAAATGCTAGCGTTTGTTTGTAAACATTGATACGAGGTTTGCGGGAAAAGACTGCCAATATTTACATATATTCATACGCGGTGAACTGGGTCACGTTCTACACTCAAGTTATTGGGAAAAAACAGACTTGCCCACAATTAGGTAATCGATTCAGAAACAGTGGCAATTGTGAATATTAATGTGTAGCATGACCTGTGATCATTGACTTATTAATATGGGTTTCCGAATGTTTCCTTTCCGACCGGAGAAACATTCTTTCCATCTGGAATGACTATCTTTCTGTTTTTCATTAAGTTGGCCCTTTATCGCCTTCCAGTTTCTCCAATATATATTTTCTTGCCAAATGTCTTTACTGTCAATACATATCAACTGGAAGATGTTTAGAAAAAACTAAGTTCATGGTTTATTGGTAAAAGAACGCATGTGAGAATGTTCAATTATCGTATGATTATTGTGTTTTGCCAATGAAAAGCGTCGTTTCATCACCAGTCTTGTAGAATGGATGATATATCCACCACAGCATCCCAACTCTAAGTTCAGTAATTCCATGTTTTTGTAATGCAGAGTTATCTGCTCTTGTGAGCAGGTACTGATTGTTACGTCATTTGTTTGTGAGAGTAAGGTCATTTTTTTTTTGGAAAACGACGTAATTTTCTCACACAAACTAATGACGTTACTATCAATACCTGCTCACAAGAGATACGTATTCATAAACATGTGTAATTACTAATAGAAGAGGAGATACCTTATCCTGTCTGGTCAGAGTTTGTTCTGTAGTTGTTCGCGTCACATCTAATAACGTATGCATACAACACGCCATTTCATCGTAAATAACATGAATTTTTCGTGGAAAGTGTCAGCGAGTGAAACCCGTAACTGCGTCAGCTACGAAGCGAAAAGTTGCCAAATGGTCAAAAGATAGCGCAAGGATTACATTACGGAGGCATTATTGCAGGTGGGAAGTATTCAAAGGCGAAAATAACTGCCCTAGCAGTTAGTACAGTGCATGTATTCTTCCGGATAACTGGTATAAAGCAAAGGTGTTTAAAATTCTGACTGTTAATTGCGATATATATATCATAAAAAGGTATACACCCTTATTATTTATGATATATATCTCTCAATTTACAGTCAGAAACACCTGTATAAAGCTGAAATGGAATCTGTAGAAATGCTGTTTATGTTATGAATAAGTATCTAAAAATATTAACCTCGCTAGTATCTTTGTGTAAGTTGGAACACAGATGAACTTATTTTGTTATGTTAATGGGCATGTTTCGGAGAGAGTTTACTTTGCGTTTCTATATACAGTAGTTTATGCGAAAGGAAGGGATAAGTGACTGGTTAGTTTGATTTTGATATGGGACCCTCCAAGGGATAACTGTTGTATAGTACCTCTGGGTCACATGAGATACGTGCGCTATTGGATTTACACAATTTACAATATTCCCGTGTTCAGTAAAACGGTATGATTTGATTATATTGTTGAAGTAAACAATTTCATTTTATTCACATGCAAAATTTAAATATATCAAAATGACGGTTCAAGATGAATACCTGAGGAAGGAGAGCGTACTTATAGCACAGAATAAGATTGCTATCCAAGTCCGTGCTTATAGTAAATAGGATCGCATGGCAAAAATACTTTTTAATCGAAATGTTTCAACAGTTCATGTTTTCACATGATGATGACTTAGAATATATGATCATGCAAAAACTTTTGTCTTTAAATAATTTATTTTCTACTTCAGATAGAATCGGAATACGCATTGAAAACGGGAAAAAATCATTTGTTTACATTGTAAAAATGGCGCGTGCTACCGATAACTACGGCTTCTGTTTCGGACAAATGGAACTGATTAAAGAAAAGTTATCTCAACATACAAGCATGCTTTAATCTCTGTAAAGTATTAAAGAATATAATTATCAAGTATCTCAACACGTTCCATATCTGACGCATATTCTACATGTACACGTACGTAGTGGTTTTACCAGAAATGTTAATTGCATGTGATGGCTAATATGACTTACTAACGTATGAAGACAGTGAAAGTGGGAAAGAGAGTATACATGAATATATATATGTATGGTATAGAAAAAGGGGCCAAAGACATTGAGTTGTAATAAAAAAAATCGCAAACTTTTTTTTATTTTTTATACTTGTCAATGCATATATATACTTTATGAAAGCCTTCGATAAAGGCTATTTGTCTCGTGAGTATTCCTTTAAGGGTAGGTGTTTAGCCCCGTACCCATTTGTACCGGTCACATTTTTCCTGGTGTCTATAAATAATACCGACATGCCAATAAACATTTCTTCATTTAAATTTTGAATATTGGCATGTGTGCAATTAACTTCTGATGATGAATATTTACTGCTAAGGGGATTCAATAAGTTTCAACACGGACTTAGAAATCATATTCCTTGATTTCATAGTGCGGTAAAGAAATTGCAGGTGCCTGACGGTCCCACCCTGGGGCCCCTTTGGCAACTTTGCATCTCGGTCAGACCACCTGTGTTTACTGCCGCGATTTAAATCGTCACGTGACATTATTGGCGCTATTTTTAACAGGGCTTTTCCGAACAATTAAAAAACAATATATGGCTCTTCGCGTGATGTCCTTTTAAAGGAATCGTGATATTCGGAGCTATCTTGTGAATGTCGAACCATTTGCGACATATACACACAGGGTAGTGGGGATTGACAACACATTATCAATAAATCAGAAAATGGCCTGTTCAGCTTTTTGACAATCACATCGTCTGATAAAAAGTTTCCAAAAAATGCTGATAAAATTGAATTCTAAGGAAAATTGAACAGGAACCTTGAGATAGGTTTGCTGTACATGCGGTGGCAAATGGAACAAAGAACATTATATTGATTGTTTTACTGTGTACCCTTGCAATATTTTAATTAAGCATTCATTTACAAACAAACAAACAAACAAATAAAAAAAATGCATAACATGTTTTTATGACACAATATATGGCATCGAAAACAGGCTCGTAAAACTATTCAGGAATGTAGTTTTTCCAGTGATAAAATATGTGATAATGATAAATAGATGATAAACGAAACAGGTAGGGCAGGTGAATTCGATCTTAATTAATAAACTACCACTGACCTTCATGGTTTTGATTTTGAGAAAAATAAGAAAGAAAACAACAACACCATCAATAAAACGATCACAGATAAAGGCTTGATGTATGCTCACTAATGACAGCGATTTAAC